CAGTATACCGATATATTCGCAAAAAAAATGAATGATATTTCAATGTTTTTATTAGATGGAGCGGATTATCCTTACACGTTTGTAATGAAGTCCAAAAAAAAAGAAAATCACATGCATGCTCGAAAAATCCATTTTCATATTGAATATGGCGTTATAAAAAACATATGAAAGAGTGATTAATTCAACGAACAAGATTGAGAACTGTAGGGAATATTTCAAACATCAATTTTGAGTCCCACTGTGATCAAGCATTTAAGCATGGTGGCGTCCAAAGGGAAAGAAGCTGGAGATAAAAGAGTCGCCAACAAGTTTTAGGAACTTGTAAAACGTTCACGTGTGTGAATGTTACACCTCATTCACGATCACGGAGATCGCTAACTCCATAGTGGTCCGAAACCATGACTGGATATTCGGGGATGATGGTACGAATCCAACCTAAAAGAGATTGAACCCGCCTAAATCGGCCTCTACTTAATTCTTATGATATTCATGTGCGCTTTCCGATCAACATACATCCAACAAGTTAATCCTAAACATGTTTAATCTACGTTGGTTGATTATTAATGCACAATCAAATCTATTATTGGCGATCACTTGATTAAAATCATATTAAGCCTAAAATCAAATTATTAATTATCTTATTAGGCGTGATTTCAAGTACAAATTCCTTTTAAACCTGCAAGAAAGGACGTGATCAAGCAATAACAATAAATATTAAATAATCAAGCAATGCATTGTTAATTGACACAACAATCATCATCATAATTAAAACATCATCAAAACATTATAATCAATATAATCATAATCTCATCAAAACATGATTAATAGCAAGATTCTAGGCATGATACTAAACGAATTAATAACAAACCCTAGCATGTCACTAAATAAAAATCATAGCTTTAGCCTAAACATGGTACTAGAAATATGATATTAGAAATATTAATTAAGCGTCCTAACATGATACTAGCAATCAAAATAAACATCCTAACATGATACTAGGAATCACAGAAGCATCCTAGCATGATACTAGGAAAACAAAATAATATTCTAAGCATGATTTCTATATCAAAAGCAAGGAATAAAGATCAGGAGATCAAATTACTCACTTTGATGCTTCGTACCTCTTTCTATCAAAACAATACACACGTTAGTAACTTCAAGAAAGATTAAATCAAACAAATAAATCAACTAATAAGAATAATTGAAATATAGATTTGAGACCAAACCCTCAGAATATTCAACCTTTCACGTCGAGGTCGAAGGCAACGTCGAGTATGGCTTGGAGTATATGAATCTCGCGAAGGAAGTATGGTGTATGATCTCATAAAAAGTGTTGGGATGTGTTTAGGCTAGGCTAAGAAAGTGAGAGAGAAAATAAGCTTATAGCTTAGAGAGAGGGATTAGATGATGATTGTTGGTGATTCAAAATGGGGTGAAACGACCTTTATATATAGGGAAAAAAAGCGTCAAAGGGTCAGAAAAGAGCCAGAATTTGATTCGGAGTAAAACGGATCCCATCGCGACGCGATAGGAATATCGCTGCGCAATATCCTTATTGCGATGCGATATGACTATCGCTGCGTGATGTTTCTATCGCTCAGCGATACTTTTTGGAAGATAAGATCCGTACGGAATCCGACTCCCAATCGACTTGGGTTAGTCGAATATCCGTACGTATCCTAAGTTTATCAGAATTAAAATCATTGAAAAACAAGTGTTTTATCCGAAATAAAATTCTTAAACCTTTATCATTTCAAAAACAGGATAAATAAGAACTTTATAGAGGATTCTAGAAGCTAATAATAAATCTTAAGGGATTTAGGAATAATGTTTAAGGTTAATGGACCCTCCACGTGGTCATTGGGTCGTAGGTAAGGCTCGATTTAGGCTGGGTTTAGTATTTTGGCCATAACTCCTTCGTTATGACTCGGATTTGGGCTTATAATATATCGTTGGAAAGCTCATTTCAAGCCCCATCCAATTACACAATAATTGGACCAGGATTATGGACCAAAATAATCAGGTTTGGACGTTTTTATAAAGTGGACACGAAATGAATGATTTTAAGGACACGAAATGGATGATTTTGGATTTAAGGACATGAAATAAATGATTTTGGCTTAAAATATTTAAGGAAAGGTTAGAAATGGTCAAGGCTAAAGGAAACTTCACGATACTCTTCAACTTTTCACCTAACTCGATAATCAAAGACATGAAAGATATTCATCATTAGATTTGGTTTTTGAGGAGACACAATCAGGTGTCTACAAGAACTCTCTAAGTAATTACATTCGATATCAAGCTTGTTAATTGAATAAATCTTTATCCTGAAAACTCATACTTCAAAGATCTTCTGGTAGATAATAAGTTTTTTAAAAAATACTCGTAATAGAGTAGGGAAATAAAAAATAAAAAAATTTACGAGTAATGTACAATATGTACTTATTTGTATAGTATAAAGTGGCAGAAAAGACCAATATCTTCGGATCAAACCACGTTTGGGAGGCAATTATTAGGCGTCAACGGCTTAGATCCCAATGCTTACTTTGGCTCTCATTAAAGTTGCTGCTACCACTTCTCACGCTCGCTATTTATTTAATTCTTAGCTTCACATTATTATTAATCAACAAAAATCTTACAAATCTGTAATCACTGATGAAGAAGATTTCCAAAGTATATTTTAAAGGAAATGGTAAATGCAATTATGATGTAGAAAAATCAAACATGCAATTAACACTAGAATATAAGAACACTTGATTTATCATATGAATTCTCAACTTATATATCATAGTATTGAACACATAAAATATGTTATACATATACGGAATATGTATGATGAGTGCATCACATATAGTTTATTTTCATTAGTATAGTAAAACTTATTTTGTCTTAACTTATCTGAAATAAGACAATATATAATTTAAGATAAATTGATGAGCAAATATACACAAAATTATAGTATTAAAATTACATACAACGTTTGACTGCTTTGTAATTTTGATAGCTCTTTAAACAAGATTTACGAAAAGTTAACCACACATGCATATTATTAAATTACAGATCGATCGAGTGATGTATAAAACACATTATTATGTCTGGTATAACTTGATAAGTTAGTTGAAATTATCAACTTATTTATAATATAACTATTGAGGAGACATGGTAATTGGCTGCTAACTTCTTCATGGAAAAAATGATTTATAATACTCCAAGTACGATCACTTAGGGTGCAATTAATTGCCCTAGATAAAGGGTTTGACCCTTTTTCTTTCAACTCAATGGACAACACAACATTAAATTTCATTATGGCATCATGCTATGTATAGTATATATATATATGAAAGGAAGGTTCAATGTCATGCGATGAGGAACAATTTGTAGATCAGATACCAATTATATTTAGTTATTTACTTAACATAGTATCATAATTATTAAGTTAATACAAGTAGAAAGTATATTCTTGTGTGAACAACTTATTATTCTCTCAAAGAGCAAATTGCGCCACCAATACCAAATTGGCTAGAAATAAGAGGAGTTTGCACGAATTAATTAAATTGTTTACTCGTGCGGAATTGTACTACTAGAAGTAATGTCATACAATTTGACATTCATTAACGTAAGTTTTATCATAAAATTAGCTAATTAATGATGGCTAAAATAAAGGGTTCAGCACATTATCCTATAGCTAGCCAGTTAGGAGTTAGCATCCCTATCAATCTATCATGTTAAGCTAATTAATTAAGTAGTCAACGAACTAACTGAGTATGTTAATGACTCAATTGTAAGTTGTTTGGTTTGGGTTGTACAAGAAATAGAAGGCAATTTTCTTACTTAGCTCATTTCCCTTGATCAGTGCGTGTTTGAAAAACCTTTCATTTTTTTGTAATTCTCACTTTGTGAATGTGATTATCTCTTTTTGCGTTAATCTTGATTCTCTCAGCCGGGTTACCCCAAGTCCCACGCACTTGTCCAAAAAAAATAATTACACCAAGTCTAATTTTGCCTCCTTAAACCTACCACCACCAAACCACAATCACCTACCAGCTCAATCTACAACCACCAACCCAAGTTTGCAATCAAATTCACCAAATTACTACTATATGTTACCAACAAATGAACTGAACCACCTTTAATGTACCAGCCAATGGCTCCCCCTTTCGTTCCATTGCACCCACCAGCCAGTCACTCAGGCAGTCACTGGCTAGCTAGAGCCTGACCGCCTCCATCAATCTAAGATTCACCGTACCAACGCCGAGAACCATAGACTGAGAACTCAAGAATTGTCGACAGCCATTGCAAAAATTACATACTATAGTCATCACACAATAGGTTACTTTACAATTATCTCATGTATAAGATCTTTTCTTTAAAATTAGCAATGGAGCTTAATAATTATAATATCATTCACCGTGGATGATGCACTTAAAATATATAATAATGGTCCAAATTAATCAAATTTCTTTTGTTAATACTTTATTTAATTTATTAAATTGAAAAGGCTTTTTTTTCTTCTTATATACTTCGTATAATTTATTTAAATTCTATTAAAATATAGAAGTTTAAATTCTTATTTTTTATAATTACTCTTTCTTGTCAAAAAAAAAAAAAAGTTATGCACATACTTAAAGCAATTGATAAATGTTAAGGAGTAATAAAAAGGAGTATAAATAATACAATTACAAAGACTTTATAGATCTTGAAACCTCATCCCTTTTCCAATGTGGAAGAGCCGCCATAAAAAACAAATAAGTAATTAAAAATAAAAGCAATAAAATCTATATTATTCCTACATAAAATTATACAGTGCTATACTTAAACAAATGTAACATACGATAGACACAGAGAGTTTTTCAAGGACATAAACCTTAGCTTATTATATTAATATTATAGTCGATAATGTTGAATACTCGTATAAAATAGACTAATAATAACTCATATAGTTGCAACTTATTTTAATATTGTAATCAGAAATATAAAATAGCTGAAGTCAAACAGTTAAGGCTCCCTTGCAATGTTTGCCTCTATAATTTAAAGAGGCAGATAACAAACACACACAATTTACAGTTTGAACACGACAAACAATTAACAAAAACAAAGAGAGCTAGAGAAAGAGTAAGGCATGACGACGACAAGTATGGAGCAACAACAACATGGAGGAGCCAACTCTTCTCAAGATGAAGGGAAAATCAAGGAAGAGAATGATTCTAACAATAATCGTCGTAAAAGGGTTGAATCATCATCGTCTCCTTCGACTAGCTTCAACGATGAAACTCATAAGGTATACATACATATAAACCGATTCATCTATTATTTGATCTATTACTCGTAATTCTTTATCACCTAAAACGATAAATTAGGTCGTAATATAATTTGTTAATTGAATCTTTAAACCTCTAAGCTTACAATTGTTGTTCATATTTGATTGCAGAATGATGAAAGTTTGACACAATCCACTGATGAACGTAATATAAAGAAAGATTCCGACGTTGATAAACAGGTAATTAATTGATTATCGTTTGTGTATTACGTACTCCTATGCTAAATCTACCATGATGGTCCCATTTTTTTTTTTTAATTTGGAAACTATCAAATCTAGATAGATAGCAAAAAAAAATAAAAAAAAATAAAAAAATCCTGTAGTATATTGATATTGATATTGATATCTATATTTAGATTCATTTCCCCCAGTTTCTAATTTTCTAGTACTAATCGATACCCATGTCTTCCAAGTAAACTAAAGTTTAATTTATTTACTCATTCATTATTTTGGATGAGGTTAAGATATGGGATATTCATCAATAACCTAAACAAAAGGTTTATTAGTACAAAATCAAGATAAAAGTAATTAAAAACTTTGTGTGCGTACACTCGGTTTACATTAATTATTACACTGTAAATTTATTTATTTATTTATTATTTTTTTTTTTATTGTACATCGGCCAATTATAGGTTAACTTGTAACTTGATTTAGCTAAGGTAACTATAATAAATTTGCTATAATTTTTTTTTTTTAATTGGAAGGTATTTTTTAGGAATATATTTTATAATTGGTAATATATGGTTACATAATTTTATTCCTTTTGAGTGAATGACTGAATGAGTGATTTAGATGTTGTAATTCTTATAAAAGAGTAAATTTCATGCATATGTTAATAGAAACAACAACTTTTTCTGTGTACCTGGCCATCACCGTGTGGTAGGGGTTATTTGTAGGGGTTATTTATTCAGGGATTACTTGTAAGAGTTACTTACTTAGGGGTTACTTACTCAGTCGGTTAGCGCGTTTTCTATGTGAGAGTAACCCTTGACCGACCGAGTAACCCCTGAATAAGTAACCCCTATAATTTACCCCTAACCAAATGAATAACCCCTGAATAAGTAACTCCTGACCAAATGAGTAACCCCTGAATAAGTAACCCCAGACCAAACGAGTTACCCCCTACAAGTAACCCCTGACCAAACGAGTAACCCCCTACAAGTAATCCCTGCCAAACGGTGTGATTAGTCACATATAAAAAATTATGCAATAGAAAAGGGTTAACATTTTCATATATATGAAATACAAAATTTCTTTTTTCTGAAGTTTTAAGTGAAATATATAGAGGGGTTTGTTTTTTTTCTAAAGTTTGTGGATGGAATCGTAGTCTAAAATTTTGACTTGAAAAGATGAATAGATTACAAATATAATTAAAATATTATTGGGATTAATTTTTTTTTCTACGGAGTACATGCTAAATTGCAAGATATTTTTATAAAAATCAAACATACAATATTGTCTCTTCAACATTTTAATTTCTTACATATAACCTGTTTGTTTTCCTCTTTAACCGTCTTTGACTTCCATTACTATAGCACTCCGTAATTGTTACCAATGCAATGTAAAAATAAATAAATAAACAAATCGAAAGAGTATATATGATTATTTTTTGCAAATTAAATAAGATTTACCATTCGTTTATAAATATTCTCCCATCTTATTAGCATACTACTATATATAATATATAATATAGAGATATGACTCTAAGTTTATTTCTAACTACACGATTTTATTTCTTAAACAAAAATAAGACTATCCTTATATTTTTCAAGTTTCATATTATAGGATTTACTATCATTCTTTCATTTGGTTTCTTTCTTCACAATAGCTAATGCAATACAAAAACATGATAGTTGACCATTTTATAAGAAATGAAGAAATTTAGATTAATTAGGAATAATTATGTTGTGTCAAAAATTAGGAATAATAATTATAATAATTGAATATTTTTATTTTAAAGACTTTATGATTACTGATTATTGTAGGAGTATCTTACTAGAAATATTCATTATAGTTATATTTCTAATAAATTATACATATTCACACAATATATTGTTTACTTTTAATATAGGGCAAAGAACTTGAGTCAACAAAAGCTGAAATAGGTGAAGTAATGGAAGAAAACCAAAGGCTTAAGCAATACCTAAATAAGATGATGACTGATTATCAAATGTTACAAAGCAAATTCCATGAAATCTCTCAACAAGACTCAAAACAACTCAAGATTATGGCCGCAACTCCTCCTCCTCCTTCTCGAGCTTCATGTGATGAAGATGAAGAAGAAGCAGATAAAGAACTTGTATCCCTTAGTCTAGGGAGATCTCCAAGTCTCGACTCTAAGAAGGGATATACTAATAAGTTAAGTTCACCATCCAAATTAGCAACGAATCATAGCAAATATGTTGACATGGAAGCTAATGAGAGAAGCTTGGATCTCGGATTAGAGTGCAAGTTTAAAGCTTCAAGTACGACAGATCATCCTCAAAACCTCAATGAGACGAAATATAGCGAAGCTCTTAAGAGTAATAATGTTACAACTGGTGGTAATAGTAATGGAGACGACGAATTAGTACACCAACCCCCTATGAAGAAAGCTAGAGTTTCAGTTCGAGTTAGATGTGACACCCCAACTGTAAGTACAAATGAAGTATTATACTAAATGTACGCTTTTATTTATAAATTATCTTATGTATATCATCTTAATGCGGTTAATAATTATTTCTATATTGATCAATTTATTTGTTAAATTTGGCAGATGAATGATGGATGTCAATGGAGAAAGTACGGGCAAAAGATTGCTAAAGGAAACCCATGTCCTCGAGCTTATTATCGTTGCACGGTTGCTCCATCATGTCCAGTAAGAAAACAGGTACAATTTGTAATACTCCATATATAGTGCCATTTTTTTTAGTCTAGTTTACTTTTTGATATGCTTTATATATAAAGTCTTTTTTCTAGCTAGATTTTAATAAATTGCATGAAAAATATAAGTGCAAAGATGTGCTGAAGACATGTCCATCTTGATCACCACATATGAAGGGGCACATAATCATCCACTCCCAGTCTCAGCAACAGCAATGGCTTCCACCACTTCAGCAGCAGCCTACATGCTAATGTCTAAATCGTCGACATCTTCAAATCTCGGATCACTCCCTTCTACAACGACACCTATTGGAGAACAACTTCATGGAGGCCTTAAGTTCAACATCCTCAATAATTCTGAACAAAATTCATTTTTTTCTCCAAATTCCTCTACATTTTCTCCTGCTCCTATACACCCTACAGTAACCCTAGACCTTACTTCAACCCCTTTATCATCCACAAATAACCAATTCAATAAGGTTGCTTCAAATTTAGGTTCAAGGTATTCTTCATCAAATCTCACCTTCAATTTTTCGGAAAATTCAAACAATCCCCTTTACTCTTGGTCTAATGGATTACCTAGCTATGGAACTCAATCCTACATAAAAAAACCCTAAATAGCCCACTAAATATTGGATCATCAAACAATACATACAATTTTCAAAGTAATCTCTTGCAAAAGAGTAACATCTCTCATATAAATCCTCCTAATCATGATTCTTTGCCCGACACATTTGCTCAAGCAGCCAAGGTTCTTACTTCAGATCCAAGCTTCCAATCAATTCTAACCGCCACCTTGTCATCCTTCATCAATGGAAATAATGGCAATGCTAATAGCAAAATAGTTGGAAATTACGCTAGCAATCACCACGAAAAAGGCGGTTGTCATACTTCTTCTACAAATAGCTCATTATTTCAATCCACAAGCAATAAGGACACTAATGGATATGTTTCAAGCTTGTCTAACAAGGTTCCTATAGCACCAAATTCAGAATTAGCTCAAAGTAGCCATATGTTTCTTACTTCTTCATTGCCTTTCTCTTCTACTAAAAGCACATCATCCTCCCCTGATAATATAAATCAAACAAATTGAACATTATTTGAAAAGCTTATTGTAAATTGTAGATTTTTAAAAAGCAAACATTATTGATTTGTAGTTTATTATTATTAGCTAGTGAGATAATTTAAAATTCAAGTCTTATAGGAGTTTTGAACTAGAGTTTTTTTTAAATCAATGATACATTCCTTAACTTCTCCTATTATATACTGTGTGATTCTATTTTGATACTTTATTTAGTTTGACTGTGGATGGGAATTTGTAAAATTGACTATGTATTAATGTAATGCTAATATAATTGTATTTTTGTATAGCTATATTACTTACATTTCTTTTTGAAACCATATTACTAGGCCTCGTTTGGATGCATATGAGAATTAAATGTCTATAGAAAGTTACAATACATGGGAAATTTTATTGCCAAGGAAATACTAAAAGTGTGTTTAGTTGACATATAGGAAATCGTATTTCCCGTGAATTAACTTTATATGTTTTGTTTGGTTAACTTTATGTAATACCCGTATATTATTATAACTTAAACTACTTTCTTAAAATTTTAAGGACAATAGTGTAATTTCATCCAAAATACATGTGGGAAGTTTGAGTGACCAAGATAGGGTGTGGGAAATTAATTCCCATGTTTTGTAGAATTCTAAATTCCTTAGGAATTTCCACTTCCCACATTTTTACTTTTAGGGCATGCTTGGATTGAGTGAAATGTAATACCAGGGTAATAAAAGTCAAACTAAGCAAAATGAAAGTAAATAGGAAAGGAGGAGATAGTGATGGTGTGCTTGTAAGAAAAATTATGTAGTGATGGTGAGGTATGAGATGACGAATGAGGCTCATTTTGGGGGTAATAGTTACACTAGGGGGAGGGTGTGTAACTATTACTCTCATTATGAGGGTAATAATTCCTTCATCTCTCTTTTTCCTCGTAAAACAACTACCTTATTTCATTTGTAAACACCATACCTCCTACAACACCACCTCTAATTACTTATCTTCATCATTGAATCACCACTGTTCATCATCATCGAAAATCGACATCATTAAATCACCACCGTTTGATCTTAATTAATCAAATCCCTCTTTTTTTTGCCTAATGTTGGGCGACACTGGTGGTTTTGTGATGAGGGTAAGGGAGTAATTCGTGTTGTTGATTGGTGTGGCTGGTGGCTGCGAAGCTGTTGTTGTAGCGGGCTGGTTAAGTGGTTGCCGTGGGTTGTGGTTTGTGTTGTGGTGGCGAGTGGTGGCGATGTGGTGGTCGCTGAAGATTCCGGGCTGCGGTATTAGGTGATTGTAGGGATGCGGCTGTGCGTGAGCTGATCGATGTTGTTGTGGCTGTTGAAGCGAATTGGTGGCTGGTGGAGCAGGGGCTGTGTGTTTGGTGGTCCGGCAAGGGAAGGGATCCGGGAGGTGGGAAAAGGTTTTTAATTTTTTTCAATTAAAAAAAAATTATCAAAAAAATGAAAACCAATAAGAAGGTGACACGTGTAAAGTCACTTTTTAAACAGGTTACTAATTTGACAAACCGGTAACAGACTTGTTTTGAGCAGATGAGGGTCAAAGGTATTGTTTCCAGATTACGAAAAGGTAGGATTGTTTTGAGCAGAAAAGCCAAAGGTGGGATTATTAGTTTCCATTTTTTCTTTTTTAATTTATTTTACAAAAGCTAATGGAATTATCTTGCAAAATTGCACGCACTGATAAATTTTAATTAGGGATGGGGTCGACCAAGTTTGGGTTGGGCTTTAAAACCATTGTCATTCTTATGTTATACTTGATATCTTTTTAAATTTTAGGAAAAATTTGTCAGAAATAATCTTTTATGTTGGTCATTTTGTGAGAAAAATGACATTATGCATGGGACTTTAAATTGTTTTTTGTTGTTGTTGTTGACTAGAACCTTTGCCCGAATTTTGATCATTGATTTCGATTTTCTGGCCGTGGATCTTTGACTTTGATTTTTACCATATTTCTTCCCTAATCACCTAGTCCACCTCTCCTGCCATGTCTTACCACCATCAACACACTATTCCACCACCAACCATTGCATATCCCGTTTCACCATTGGACCACCACCTCCAACCATTGCACACAACCACAACCACATCGCCACCCACACAAATCCCCTTAATCTACGTTCACTTGCTCCCTTCTCGGCCTCTGATCCTATCTAAACTCACCGTGTTGCCACAACTCGAAACAAAACACCATCCCTCACAAATCATAAGTGTGGAACGAATAAAAGGTACAAATATATATAACAATTTAAAAAATGTCAAATACGAAGTATATTATTAAGATTGCTTTACTTAGGAGTTGGAAATGGGCAGGAAAATATTGAATGATAAAGTGACAAGTGTCATTTTAGCACCTAGGTGCTACTGTTTTATTATAATTATAGATAGATAGATTGAAGATTCGGTATTAACTGATTTTATATATTGCAATTCAAATAAAGTTTTTCTATGGAGTGATAATCCATGAATAATGATAATCAAAGCTTCATAATTCGTGTTATCGAGATTTGATACTTATGCTTTTACTATTATGTCAATACAGACATTGTGCGATCACTCATTTAAAGCACATAATCTCACTAAAGTTACGCAACTTGATTTCCTTATCAATGGGTAAACTGTTCAGCGAAGTCATGCCACTCATGTCCACACATGAGCACCTCAATCAATTTTCATCTTTGCTCTTGTCGTAAATAGGCAAAAGTATCCATTCTTAAATTGAACTTTTACTAGTGTTGCTATGTGCGCGCAAGCCCCCTAATCCACAAGCATTGCACCCTTGCCAAAATGCCATACATGATACAAGCTAACTTCCTCCAACCTTCAAAGTTCAAAACATCATCATCATCATTCATCAACCTTTTTTTAGTCGCTCTTCTAAAAATCCAGCCAAACAGGCCCTACTCTAATTAGCATTTTAATTATTATTAGCATTATAATTAATTAATTATTACAATAATCAAAATATTCAGCTAAAATATCAAGGAATCTATGATATCATACCATTATCATTGTCTTCCTTCTCCCCTAAAAAAACCCTATTTATTTTCTCTCTCCTCCTTTTCTTCTTCACCAGCAGTCACCAATTTGCAGCAAAATTCTCATCGAATCTTCTAATCAGGGGTAAATTCTCTCTTTTTCTCTTCTCTTTGTCTTGAATTTGTCAATTTTCTTTTGATCAATTGATTTTTCAGCTTCAGATGAAGATAATTATGGACTCTAATTTCATATTAAAACGCAGAAATTTGTTGATTTTGTGTTGTTTTTATGCTGTGTAATGATACTGATGCTCTTTTGTACCTTTGAAACAAGTAATTTGATCGAAGTGGAAAATTTAGGTGTTATGGTTAGAATTTGATTATATTGATGCTTTGATTTCTGTTATCGCTGAATATTAACGCTATTTGAGCTTCTGGAGCTCTTGAAATCTGTTTTTGGAGGTTGTTTGCATGAGTGTTTGCTTGGGAATTGTGGGGTTGTTTTTTGATTGTGGGAAATGTAGGCTGACTATTATAGGTGGGAGAACACTGGCAAGCTGACTTTTCGTTCATTTTTAACCGCGTTGCGTCTCTTTTATCAGGAAGATTTTGCAATTTAGATTGGTTGTTGTGTTGGTGATGATTGTGTTTGTGGGAGTTTGTTATTGTGTTAATATATGGATACCTTAATGAGATGAATGAAATTAACCGAGTTTTTTGAATTGTTCTTAGAATCTTAGTTATTATCAAAGAGTGTCTTAGCAGCTGTACTATTAGGATTTAAATCTGCTAAATGATGTTGGTACTTACAGGTAGTTACGATGTCTACTCCCTCAAGAAAGCGGCTCATGAGGGATTTTAAGAGGTTGCAACAGGATCCTCCTGCAGGCATTAGTGGAGCACCTCACGATAACAACATTATGCTTTGGAATGCTGTCATATTTGGGTAACTATCCTCCATTTTTTTTCTCTAATTAATATGCTACTTATCGCTTATTATAGGTGAAGAATAAGCTGACTTTTCTTGGTTTGTGTTTTATTTTTGCAGTCCAGATGACACTCCGTGGGATGGAGGTGAGCAAGTTAAAGTAAAAAAATTAAATGTCAAGCCTCTCCCCACCCCCCAAAAAAATGAGATAGTTTGTGTTATTTTTTCTCTAAAGTTATTGCTGTGTATGTTGAAGTGTTTGTCTTGGCATTATACTAATGCAGATGGTTCTTTTGTGTATGTAGTTATTGTTGACCATCATTTAAGTCTCTTGTCATTTTCCGTCTCAGTTCTTCATTATGGCCATGTGTATAGGAGGTACTTAGAAGTTGGTACATTGAACAACATTGTCACGACAATTTGAATAAGCCTGTTATTGTAGACAATTTTTTTTTTTTCTAACATGCCAAATTTATGAATGAGTGAATGATAGTTTTTTTTTTTTCATTTGCTTGCATGTGTGGAATTTTCTTATAGGCATAATTTTTTTGGTTATTAGACACGTCTAGATGATAACCAAAGAAATATACCCTAACAATCAAGTACTCTCTCTATCTTTGTTTTGTCGTACTCCACTTTTAAAATTGCATATCATTAATATTTTAATAAGTGATAAATGGGATGGATATCGTCATGATCTTCATCCTTCTTTGATCCTATTAAAGCACTTTCTAACTAATACTTCCTTTGTTCTCTTTTTATTGTAACGTGGAGGGGATGGATGGTATTTTAGGAGAGGAGAGAGAGATAGGGAGAGATTAAAAAGAATGACCCATGTGATGTGGGGAGATATATAAGGTATCATTGTCCAAATAAAGTTATATTGCAATTAATTTGCAATTTTTCCATAAAGGAATGCTTTGTGATTAAAAGAGAACGGAGGAAGTAATTTTGTTTCTTGTCAATAAGAACAAAATCTATATTATTATTGACTTTCTTTTCTTGATACTATTTTCGACCTCCAAGTAGGATAAGGCTCATTATGATACTTGATATGTCTTGAAGCTTTTTTGGATTATTTATAGGAAAGAGGGTGTAGCCAAGCCATGTGAAAGTCGAGGTTCACTTTTTGCCAGTCAAGGGCGGAAAGAAATGGATTATCAAGTTTTATGCCTATTGGGATAATTGCATTAACACCAGCTTTATGTATTCTTGGTCATATTCTTGTTTAGTATACTGAGTTATGTCACATGTGTGGCCAAGAGTGATGATAATGGACAGTTTAGACCCCACATGAGGCATTTGGGTCTCGAATGTAAGACTTTCTGTATTAACAAATTGCAGAGTAAGTTGGAACTTAGAATGTGTTGTGGTCGTAGCTATACCTTTTAAGCCATCAAAAGAATTGCAGTTTGTAGATCAAAAGATGTCTCATATCCTTGAGTGGGTTATAACTATATGTACTGGTTGATTTAGCTCCTGTATGGCTGGGCTGAATCGAGATTTGTGGCTAGTCGGAGCTAAATGGAATAATTGGAGTGCGCATCTAATACAAAGGAGGATATCAATCAAGAATTTAAGATATAGTAAAACTTGATTTGGTTTGGAGTGGGGTGGATTTTAAGGGTTAGTGATTTGAATTCTTGGGGTCTGTCATCCATAACAACAATTATTTGACCAAGATTATTGCCTTTGTGTAGGAACAAGTTTTGCTGGTTCAAATGGAAATATTCTAGAATACTATGTGATCACTTTTTGTCTTTAGGTTTCAGAATAATTTCCCAGGATAGTATTTGACCATCTTTATTAGTGTAGAGCTCAGGAACAGTCATGTTCATAGGACAATTGTGGCAGATATGTATGTATTGGTTTAATGTGTGGTAATATAAGAAAGTTAGAATCCGTTACAGAGATTTACAGTGGAAATAGAGGGGCATCTATCGAAATTTGAGGGTAAAATCAAGAATCGACTGATAATTGAGATGTATTCATTGCCATGATCAAGAGGCACTGGTTTAAATAATGGAGAGTTAAAATAATGCAGATTTAAAATCAGATCACGGTAGATCTGATTAGTGTTCCTTGGAGAATTAAGTATTGAAGGCAAATTCTTTTACCTGTAACCCAAATAAGTTCTTATTGTCCTTGGATTTTGTCCTTTACGAGAGGATATCTGGGGGTTAAGGAATGAGCTGAGTATGGAAGTACTCCAGTGAGAGGAGGTGTTCCTAAATATCTTAGGGAGATTGGTGTCCTGGGCATGCAGGGCACGCAAGTCTAATCCAGCTTAGGCAGCATCTGGTGTTGATGTGTTGTGGACTGTGTAGCTGCAGCAAGAAATTATGTAGCGTGGCAGCTGTCTCATATTATTTAAAGTCGGAATAAAAAAACGAATTTTTTGGCTGTAGACCCTAGTTCTTACTAATCCACCAGAAGATTGTGATAAATGTAAATGCAATTGATTTTGATATACTATTGGTGTAAAATAATCTGAATAATTTGAAAGATATATTAATCAAAATTTGCATTTATAAGTCCATAAAAGGTCTACTGGGAGTCTCCATAACAGTACGCCCAAAAAAAATTCTTAATCCCGATTACTTAGAATGAAATAATAATTATGTGTGATCATGTGCAATACATGTATGCACGAATGATATATTGATATGATTATTTTATTATGTGTGTGTCGCGTGTGCTCATGCGTGTTGCACGTACGTGTGTGTGTGTGTGTGAATAATTAAGTTTGACTTAGCTTGAAATACAATTCTTGAGAGTGATTTGATCAAGTCAAGGCACTTATGGATTACGAATTTATGACCATTTAGATTATAATTGTCATTTATTTGGGAGAAAAAAAAAAAGATCTCAAGGCAAAAATAAAATCAAGGGCTTGGAATGTGATTTTGGATTAAATCCAAAGTAATGAGAAAATCATGAAAAACGGATTACTAAGATGGAGCATGGAGCTCGTGCTATTGAGATGTTGGATTGAGATATTGTTTCTTGGCAAAATTAATATCAAGGGCTTGAAATGTGATTTTTGGATTAAATCCGGAGTAATGAGAAAATCATGAAAAACAGATTATATAGATGGAGCACATGCTATAGAGATGATTTATAAATCCATTTGGGTTAGTAAGTGTTGTTCGATAACTTATGTATTATAGCCATGATAAGCACGACATGAGTATGAAATTAGAAAAAATAGAAAACGAGCTTATTTTTTTGACCCAAGCTTTGTGGAGACCTTATTTTTCGACCAAGGATGTGTAAGAGGATTTCATATGGGAAAGGTAAAAAAGTTGTATGGATTATGATAGAATTATGTGATATTTGATTTTGGGACGCTATTTTAGGAATACAGGCAAATCATTTAGGGACGGAGGCTATATAATTATTGGATAGAATTTGTTGTTTTCATTTTTCAAATGCATGGATCCCATCCCAATGGCTTTATCGAGAAGCGGCTCAAAGACTGAACTCAAAGGTGTTTGAACATGAAAGCACTTTAAAAGTTTAGAGTTGAAATTTTGTAGTGGGCTGTGGGTTCTGGTGCTAAATTTTTTGCACTAAAGTGGATAAAGAATTTCTTTTTTTTTAAGGTCAGTGTGAGCTATTGTTTCTAATAAGGGAACCTTGCAGTTTTGGGGTTTTCGAAAGCAATTATGGGGTTTGGCTGTGAGTTGAATGATTACTTAAATAGTCCTGCATTTAAAGTTTCCTTATACGGAGTAGTAGGGTTAGATGTGGGGATTTATATAATATTTCTTCTGCTTCTTAAAGGAGTTAGTGAGGATGTTGAAAGTAATATGGAAGTATTAGGGCCTAGGAGCATGATAATTGCTTTGACGGTCGTCCAGTAGTGACAGGTTACAGGAGTCCATTATTAAAATGCTGTTGCTTCTAAGGTTTTACATGTAAAGACTTATTACCTGTTTCCCTTATGTTACTTCTCTCATCTGAGAATGGTCTTGTTTCGTTATGCTGGATGGTAGTTCTTTTCATGGGGGAAAATGGCTTGTTTGGTTTGTGAAAAAGATACTGTCTGAAGAGCTTAGTAGGACTGCTTTAAAATCTGGTCTAAAAGCGGTTATAATCGTGAAGAGGAGGATGAGAACTTATCAAGCTATAGTCAAGGTCACTTCCAATTGTATGTGCTTTAGATAGTCATATGTCAGGAAAGAACGTAAAATTTGGTTGGTAGGCTGTAATAGTTCATTGCAGTCCTTCCTATATTAAATGCCCACTTTCTATGGGGTATCCTAAAAATAATACGTAGTACATTTCTTTTTTTTTTCTCAATACTACCTCTTCCCCCCCCCCCCCCCTCTCTCTCTCTCTCTCTCTCTCTCTCTCTCTCTCTCTCTCATACACACACACACCCACTTATGAGCATATTATTCTACTATGTGCCAACCCCAGGTGTGAACTTAATTATGAGATGGGGATTTTTTAGTTCCAATTATTGTGAGTTTACTCTCTATAGGCTCAGGAGCTGTCAGCATACTGTAAATAATTAAATATCAGTGCTGGAGTACTGGGATTAGGAAGGGTTCATTTTGAACATTTGAAGAGCAAATTCATAGTCTCTTTTCCATTTGTGTGGTGCAATTTGCATTTTGAAAGAGCATATACTCCATTTGCAAAAAAAACTGGTAGTTAAATCATGGATCCTCGTGATAAAATTGTGAAAAATTGGTTTATGTAATGTCAGCGCTTTACCTTTCTGTTATGTAGTGAAGTTCTCCAACTAAAAGTTTGTGATTTCAGGCACGTTTAAGTTGACACTTCAGTTTACAGAGGATTACCCAAATAAGCCCCCAATGTTCGTTTTATTTCTCGAATGTTCCATCCTAATAGTAAGTGATCCATTTTTCTTGTTCATATTTTAACTTTCAAGTAGGTGTTGTTTCTCGCTTAGTAATAACTTCATGTTCCTGTAATGTGTCCAGTTTATGCTGATGGAAGTATCTGTTTGGACATCCTACAAAACCAGTGGAGTCCAATCTATGATGTTGCAGCTATTCTTACATCCATACAGGTTAGTTGTTGAGTTTGTAAAAATGCTTCTTGCATCCGTACAGGTTAGTCGTTGAGTTAGTCGCCCGGGTGCACAGTGCTCATGGTGTACCTGGTCAAAATAACCACATGCTCTTTGGCTTACCCCCAAATTCTAGGGTGTTGGTTTTATAGATCATTACATTTCCGTGGTTGTGTGCATCGATGCCTTCTCTTAAAAATTTGACACTCTACCATGTTACTGCAGTCCCTGCTTTGTGATCCAAACCCCAACTCTCCTGCAAATTCAGAGGCTGCTAGACTGTTTAGTGAGAACAAGCGAGAGTACAACCGAAGAGTCCGGGAGATTGTGGAGCAGAGCTGGACAGCAGATTAACATCATCCTATGGTGCAAAGAGCAGCATTGGAATGCTTTGAGGCATGTTGCCATGCCTCTCTCTAATATGTATACATTTTAGTACCATGTTCATTATTTAAATTCATACATTGTCATTCTGCGGATGTCTGCTTTGATATATGTAGAATTGTAGATGAATGATCAAAGTGCAGCCCCTTGTTTGTAAGTTAATGGCGTTGAACAATGTCAATCTCCAGCCTTTTGTAGATTGTTTCAGGGTGCTAATTTGAATACAAGAATCTTTGTGAAGGAAAAGAACGTGGACAAATCTGGCCAGTATAGGTGTAGCGTGTAGGCCACCGGATGCCATATTCCCGGTAGTAACCACCCTATAGAGCTTTTTTGTTAGAGCCCAGAGGAGCTGCTCCCTGCTGGTTGATTCCTTTTCCGTAAATCCTTGTTTAACGTATGAGCTCAAATTTCAAACCTAAATACCTAATAGTAATATCATATAAGAGCTCCATTTTTAATAGGCCGCATTTGACTAGTACGTAATTAAACATGCATTATTATATTGAGACGTCAAAATACAATAAGATTATTTGTAAAGAAGGTTCATTATTATGGGGAAACAAATTATCTATAACAAAAGAATTCAAACACTACACACATACAAGTGCTTAGATTCTTGTTGGCAGGAAGAGCCATCAAAACAATCAAAGTTCAAGCTCGCCTAAGAACTCTGACAGTCCCTCTATGAACTCTGTAAACCATCCACTACTCTCCTCGTCTTCAACCTCCTCATCCTCCTCTTCCTCCTCCTCCTCCTCTTCAACCTCTTCCTCCTCACCTTCCTGCCCCACCATCCCATTCTTGTTTCGCCCTTTTCGCATAAGTTTATGCGTTTTTCTTGCCATCAACAAGCCGGTAGCTATAGCTGCATACTGTTTTTTCTTATCTTGATCACCAGCACTTGCGTCCGAATTCCCATCTCCAACTTGATTTTCCTTATCATCCTTCTTTTGCATGAACTCCTTAGCCTTTCGCAAGTATGCTTTGTAACTGCTTCCACCATCATCGTCACCAGCACCCTTAATGGGAGGCGCAACTGAGGGTTCCGATGCTGCTGAGGATTCGGAACCTTGACGTCTGTGAAGGTACTTCTCAGCTTTCTTTAAGATCTTTCCATATCTTTCCCTGTGGCTTCCTTCCATTGAGAGAAAGACTAGTTACGATATGTTGTAGAATTTTTAATGTGAGAGATTTTTTTTTGAGAACAAGTCAGGGATTATATTAAATAAGATCAAGATCTGCTAAAGTCAATAGGCTTTGCGGAAACGGACCAAGACAAACATATTCATGGTGAGAGATTTTAATTTGAAGTATCTCATTTACAATGTATTTATATGTCAAATATTTGATATTCATGGTGAGATAAAGATTTGGAATCCTACATAAATCAATGTATGAGAGAAGTTGGCGGATATGAGTTTATTAACAGAAAACTCTACAAAACTTTCTATTTTCTCAAGCTTTTCAGTTTTTACTATTATTATTAATGAATTATGATCAAATGGTTTTGTTTTCACGATGTATCATACATTAAGAACCACTCACAAAATTTATTATTTTTAGTTCATACAAAAAAAAAATTATTTTTAGTTATGAAAATATTGCAATGCAAATAGCCAAGTAGCCAAATTCGATAAACTATTTTTTTAAAGTGAAATAAACTAACATATATGAATCAACATTTAAAGTTATAATAAACTTTAAGAATTGCATCAGGTAGTTTTTTTACGATATTTTGAATGTAAATTATTGCATACAACCCGTGAACATTGAGAATACACCTATTGCAATAACACGTACTAGCCTGCTCCTATGCATTTATGGAGCAACCACAATGTAACCTTATGTAGCTAATGCTATCATAAGCATTGAGATTTTGAGAATGTTGATGAACTTAAAATTAACTAGAAGCTCCTTAATTATGATCCCAAAGGGTCATCAACTTATCATGCATAGGTGTTAATTCTCTCGAGTGCACCTTATATGTGTTGTATATTGCGTACTCGTATATAATACGGAGTATTAGACCTCTAATTTTCCATTCTATATATCAATTAGAAGCACATCTTTGATTAACTAACTAGTTTGAATAGCACCAACATCGACTATACAAGTATGCATACTGCACAGCTAGTTAAAATGCAATAAATTTACCAATCAAAAATTTAATACAAATATCATTTACGTATGTACTTAAACCAAAAATTATTACAAATTAAAAAAAAAAAAAAAAAAAAAAAAAAAAAAAAAAAAAAAAAGCGAGTATTTTAAATTGAAATCATAACAATACAATTCAAAGTTGTAACATAATGTTAGACTACAACAGAAATTAATAAAATTATGAATAAGTCATCATGCATATCATCTTCATTCTTCATTTAATCCTTCAACAAATTCTTGAACCCCCTCCATTAATTCTGTAAACCAGCCACCCTCTTCCTCCGCCTCTTCTTCTTCTTCCTCGATTTCGCCTTCCTCTTCAACTTGCTCTTCCTCATTTTGTCTTCCATGTTTTCCTTTATGTTTTTTAATTTTCTTCAACATGGCATGAGCCAACTTTAGATGCTCTTTATGATCATGTTGACCTTCATTTTCGCTACTCGAATTCTCATGAAGATCACCACCATCTTTTTTATCTTTCTTATCCTTCTTATCCTCCTTGTCTTGTTTCTTTAAATAACCCTGAGCCTTTTTGAAAAACTCTAAATGACGGGTTCCATTACCATTATCACCATTTATGACAACTGGCGGCGTTCCTGAGGCCGGGGATGAGTGAGAGGCTTGATACTTATGTAGATAGCCCTCCGCCTTGGCAAGGAACCTCTCATATTTTCGATCGGAGCGGGTGGTGGAGGTTGACTTTGCATTTGCATTATTCAAGTCCATTATAAATACTAATATAGAACTGTAATCGTGGTTGTGGTTGTGGTCGTGGTCGTGGACGTTGGTTGTGATTGTAGTTGTTGAAAGGAAAATAAATACAAGCAATAAACAAGATTTATAGATTTAAATGAGAAAGTTGAGTGAGGGGATAATTGAGAGTTGAGATTATATAGTGTTAAGTTGGCTGCTAGAGTAGGGCATTTTCGGCTACTTGTGGAATAATTAATTATTTACGCGGCATTGAATGTTGAATTGTTAACGTAGATCGACAACCATAACTTACTTTCAATGAAGCGTTGACTATACCAACTTCCGACACACTTGAGACCGTCGGCGAACGGGTTTAATTCTCTTAACTTCATATCTTGTTCTCTCAACTTCCAGCACACCCGTTCCCCTGTTTCAGTGCACCATTTCCACTGTTTCAGACTTTCAGCCCGATTTTTCCTAACTTCAGGTATGTTTAATTTTTTTAAATTACTTTAATTTTCTTTAGTTTGATAATCATTGAGTTCACATTTGATTATACTGAAGAATTGATGATATGAGCATGAAGTCACATACACTTGAGTAGTTGAGTATAGTTGCTGGACTTGTTTGATTTGAGCATGAAGAACTGAAAATGTACTTAGGGTTTAATTAAAATTTAATGTATAGTTGCTGAAAATGTATGAAGAACTGAAAATGTACTGACGATTTTATTTGATACTTTAATGTATAGTTGCTGGACTTGTTTAATTAAACTTTAATGCATTTGATATGAGCATGAAGAACTGAAAATGTACATTGTACAATGTATAATGTATTGTTGTCTTGCTGAAATTGTCAGGAATGTCATCTAGTGCCTCTACTTCATGCAATGTCAGTGGTAGTAATTCTTCTGAGCTTATGAATGAACCATACCCTTTGTGAAAGTTTGTTGTTAAAGGTGATACACTACTAGAAAACAGGCAAATTCCGACGGACTTGTTCCGACAAACACGAAATTCCGTCGGAAAAAGCATAATTTCCGACGGATTTATGTTTAGTCGGATATATCCGACGAATTCAAAAAATCCGTCGGAAATTTCCGAAGGAAATAAATTCCGTCAGAATATAAATCCGTCGGAAATTTCCGACGGAATTTTCCGTCGGAATATAATTAAAAAAAAAATTAAAACCTTTTTACCAAACCCTACCCAATAAAACCCGGTTCCCTTTCTTCTCCTACCCAAGGCGCCCCTCTTTCTTCTCCTTCTCTTTCTCTCTCCTCTTCTCTTGTTTCTCCTTCGTTCCTTCACTCCTTCAGTCCTCATTTCTCTCTCTTCTCCTCTTCTCTCTCTCCGCCTCTCTTCTCTTTCTCTTTCCTCTCCTCTTCCTCTCTGAACTCCTCTTCTTTTTCCTTCTCTCTCCTCTTTCTTTCTCTCTCCTCCCTCCTTCTCTCTCCTCCCTCTTTCTCTCTCTTCTTCTTCTCCTTCTCGAGTTTTCATATCTTTTCATTCCTCGCAACACTTCATGCATGAAACATCAAAGAACAAAATAAGGTTTTTCATTTCAAATTCGACCATGAAAACCCTAGATCTAGAGTTCTCATGGTCAAATTTGACCTTTAAAACCCAAAATTCAAGCCAATTTCGGGGTTTTGATGGAATTCAAGGTAAGTTCTCTTTTCTCTTTCTCTTATTTTGTTTCGGGTTTTGCTTGAAACATCAAAGAACAAGCCCTTATTTCTGGGTTTTGATTTGAAATTGTGGGTGTTGATTTGGAATTTTCGGTTTTTGTACGGTGAGATTTGGAACAAGTTCGGTTTTTGTATGGTGTTGATCTAGAGTTTGTTTTTGTTGATTTCGTTATTTTTTGTTTAATTTTATAGATTGATTTGTTGTTTTTGCTTGGTTTTTTTGTGGGTTTTTTATGTGATTTTTGTGGGGGGTTTTTTTTTTCGAATTACTTCGTTTTTTTTTGTTTTTTTTTGTGGCTTTTTACGGTTGGAGGTGATGGGTGTTTCACGGTGGTAGGTGGTTTACGGGGTGGAAGTGGGTGGTTTATGGTGGAGGTGGGTGACTGGGCGACAGGGGGTGGGTTAGTATGGTGGTAGGGGGGTATGGGTGGGTAGGGGGGCAGGGGATGGGTACCGTGGGTTGGTGGTGTAGGCTGGTGGGGCTGGTGGTGGTGGGGGCGGTGGTGGGTACTGTTTTTTTTTTTTGTTTTTTTAAAGCATTTTTCGACGAAAATTCCGTCGAAATTTTCCGACAGATTTATATTCCTTCGGAATTTTCTGACGGACTTTTCCGGTGCCGGAATTCCTCTTCCGACGAAACAATTTCGACGGAAATTCCGTCGAAAAAGGTCCGTTTTCCTACAAAAGGTTTTCCGACAACCGGTTCCGACGGAATTCAGGGTGATTCTGACGGAATTTTTCTGTCGGAAATGGCCTGTTTTCTAGTAGTGATAAAATATCGGGTGGTGGAGGAAATTATAATTGGAAATGTAACTTTTGCGGCGAAATTAAAAATGGTTCATACACTAGAGTGGAAAGCTCATTTACTATGTGAACAAGGGAAAGGGATTCAAACTTGTACTAAAGTGAAAATTGATGACCTTGCTATACTAAAAAAGCTTCATCGTGAATTCGAGGCTTATAAAAAATCTTTGTTACCAAAAGTTCCACCTTTTCCAAATGAATCCATATCTTCTCACACATCAACTGAAGCTACATCAATGAGATTAGCTATTTCATCTGATAATGTAAAGAAGAGGAAATCAAACAATACAATTGCCGACACTTTTAATATGAAATCTCGTGACCACTTGGATTCTGAAATTGCTAGGATGTTTTACAAGGGGGGGTTGCCTTTTAATCTTGCTAGAAACCCTTACTATGTTAGTTCATATACATATGCTGTCAAATCTAATCTCTCTAGTTATAAGCCTCCTAGATACACCAAACTTAGAACAACTTTGCTTAACAAAGAGACAGAAAACGTGGATAGGTTATTACAACCTGTTAAAGCCACATGGAAAACAAATGGTGTTACCATTGTTAGTGATGGGTGGAGTGATCCACGAAGAAGGCCTTTGATTAACCTTATGATTGCTTCTGAAACGGGTCCTATGTTTATGAAAGCTATTGATTGCTCAGGTGAGATTAAGGACAAAGATTTCATTGCTACCTTATTAAGTGAGGTGATTGATGAAATTGGAGATCAAAATGTTGTTCAAATAATCACAGATAATGCAAGTAATTGTAAGGCTGCAGGGGAATTGGTTGAGGGTAGGTATCATCATATATATTGGACACCATGTGTTGTTCATACATTTAATCTTGCAATGAAAAGCATTTGTGCAGCTAAGAATGTGTTGAATAATGTTGAAGTATATGATGAATGTCATTGGATAACGGAAGTTCATGTAGATGCTTTGTTCATTAAGAATTGCATAATGAATCATTCGATGAGGCTTTCAATGTTCAATAAGTTATCTCCATTAAAACTACTTTGCATTGTCGATACTTTTTTTGCTTCAATTGTGTGCATGCTTAAAAGGTTGAAACTCCTTAAAACATCACTTCAATCAATGGTTATTAGTGAGAATTGGTCCTTATATAAGGATGATCGACGCGAGCAAGCCTCACTTGTAAGGGAAAAGATTTTGGATGAAGCATGGTGGGAAAAAGTTGATTACATTCTTGATTTCACACACCCAATTAATCTATGATATGATTAGGGTTTGTGACACCGACAAATCTTCATTGCATTTGGTTTATGAAAGATGGGACATTATGGTTCAAGAGGTGAAAGATGTCATCTACAAAAAAGAGGGTAAACTAGATCATGAAGAATCTACCTTCTTTAATGTAGTTAAAGGGATTCTTAGTAGTCGTTGGAGTAAGGGTAGTACTCCACTCCATTCATTAGCACATTCTTTGAATTTAAGGTAAGTTTTACTTATTTAATTCCTCTTTATTTATCTTTCCTTGTTTTTTATTTAATTTCTTATGGCTAATCTTATTTTCTTGTTAAAGAATTTACACGGAAGAATGGCTTAATGAGGTCCCGGGACGAGTAGCTCCAAATGCCGACAATGAAATTTCCACACAAAGATTACAATGCTTTCGTAGGCTTTTTCAAAGTCCCGATGAAAGATTCAAGATCAACACGGAATTTGCAATATTTTCACAAAAATCAGAGGGGATCTTTCTCAACATTGATTGCATGCATGATATGGCTTTAATGGATGCTAAAAATTGGTGGGCAACTCATGGTTCCCAAGTGCCTATGCTTCAAAGTTTGGATTATAAGCTATTAGGTCAACCTTCTTCCACTACTTGTAGTGAAAGGAATTGGAGCACCTATAAGTTTATTCATTCTTGCACTAGAAATAAGCTTACTCCTAAACGTGCTCAAGACTTGGTATTCATTCATAACAACCTTCGATTACTTTCTAGGAGAAGTGAAGAATACACTAAGGGAAGATCTAAGTTGTGGGATGTGGGAGGAGATGAGCATGACAACCTAGGAGATGTTGGTATTCTTGAGATGGCCGAGCTCTCACTTGATGAACCCGAGATGGAAAATATGGTTTTTGATGATGTAATTGATGATGGTGTAGAATGAAAACTATTAGTACTTGTGTTTTTTTTATTTATGGTTTATAAAACTATTACTAAGACATTTATTTGGTTTCTTGATATGTATGCGACTATGCTTGTAACACTTTGTTTATTTACTTGTTTTAAACAAAATTGCTTAACTAATACTCCGTTTCCATGCATCCTAGGGTACAACACTATAAGAGTGGGATGGAAGATTCAACATACTTAATGACTTGTCTTGTGAGAAATCTTAGCGTTAAGATGTTTTATTGCCCCATCTCAACAAGACATCAAAGTTGATAGTAACTTTATGCATTGAATATTTGTGTTCACCTAATTTTTATTTATCTGATTTAGCTTAACTTATTTAAATTTATTAAATTTTATTTTAATTGTAAATTGAACTTAAACTCTTATTAAAGCTTAATTTTTTTAAATTTGTGTTATATGAAATTATTAATTTTTATTTGAACTTATCAAGAGGATATAAGATGAACATAACATGACCTTAATCGAGTAAAAACATTGATTTCATAAGACAATCATTAAATAATCCATTAACTTTTAGATAATGAAACTGTAAAAATTAAAAAAGACGCTCTTCTTAAGTTGTTGCAGAATGATTGAGCTTTTTATTGTTTAGAAAATTATAGGAAATTTAATTTAACTCATGCAAATTAATTTATATTACATTTTTGCATTTATTAATAGAAAAAATGATAGGGACTACATATAAAGAGCTAAACGTGAAAATAATACATGAAATAGATCATTAATTACACAAATTATTTGCTATTTTGTCATATATATCTTAACTAATACTCCCTCCGTTTTTAAATACTTGCTCCATTTCTCTTGGGCACGTATGCCGATGTTAATCTTTGATCAATAATATCTTTAATTATCAATAAGTATATCTAACAATTGAAAATTAATAATCTATTCATTGAGACGATTTCATACAACAAGTACCCACAAGAATTTTTTTTTTTTTTTTCTCATGTATAAATCACAAACATTAGTCAAAGTAGGATAAATAATTAGTGCAAAAAGTAGAAATAGAGCAAGTATTTAAAAAACGGAGGGAGTACCAATTTAGGAAATACATACGAAGTACACTGTATTAATTGGACATGTAGCTCTAAGGGCAACATATACCATTACCTTGATAAATATTTTACTTCAACAAGATAATAACATCATATATTGATATATAGAGCAATTTAGAATTTAAACATCATATTAAATCTTGTACGAAGTACAAAACACATTCTAAATTTTAATTGTATGTGGGATTTAAAGATAGATTTACGCGATACCTACTATACATACTTTCTCCATTCACTTTTAATTGCAACACTTTGACTTTCACGCTTGCTAATGCACAATTTACTTCTTCGTATCTTAAAATATAGATACATACAAAAATATGAACATTAAATATTATGAAAATAAAAATCGAGACGAATCTAACGACATCTCACATGACTATATTTTACCCAACATATAAATAAAAACATATGGTCGAGTGTAACTATGTAAGAATATGAATACTGTAAATTTAGAAGTATTGCAACTAAAAGTGGACGGAGAAGGTACTAGTTTATAACCGCTTTTTAATGCATTATTATAATAAACCTAATTCAATTACTTGAATCGAAGGGAATCCAGTGATCTAATCCAGTTGTTTAAAGTCGCAAACCAATGACTTTTCTAAGCCATCAACTACATCTTCTTTACAGGCGCAAATATGGGCAATTGGTGATAAAACTGATAATAACATAATAACGTTAGGTGAATGGGTTCCATCATTTTTTTATTTGTTTTTACCATTTCTTCGATGTTCCGGATATTATTAAGTAATCATAATTAAGCAAATAAACAGGCATATATAAACATGCTAAATACTTCTCCTTTCTCTCTCTTCTCTCTCCTAAACTTTAGCCTTCATTGTAAATTTTGAAGGGGATTTCATCGGATTTCACCGGTGAAAAGCCCCAATCGTTGTTTCTTTTCAATTTTTTTTAACTCTTAGGTCATAATAATGTCTCCCTCGAAAGAAAGGTTTTATCTCCTTCGAAAGACAAGGTTTTTTCAATCTCCTTCGAAAGAAAAGGTTTTTCTAAAGACAAGGTGTTATTTGCGTTTGATAAAGTCTCCGATTTTACAGGGCTACGATTGATTATTGCTCGAATTCGGGTTACAAAATCATCAGAAGAAATTTCTTCCTCACAAAATATTGAAGCGTTGACGGATCCACTCAAAAAGTTGTATAAGACAACGAATCGAGGATATGTCGAATTGTTATATCTATGTATTTGGATTCTTAGCATTTCTCTGATTAATTCTTGTTTGATTTTGTTAAATCTGTTTTCATTATCGTTATTTATCAATTTAAGATGTCCTATGACTTTAATTAATGAAATTTAGTGTCCTTTTAGACTTCTTTCAAAAAAAAAAATTAAAAAAAAAATAACTGCTGCTAAATATTCTTCTTATTTTGTGCATGTTATCACTATTTTATTGTATATTCTTCTTGTGTCATCTATTAACTATTACTAAAACAAAATATTGCTGACGTCATCACTGTCCACATGTCACTCTCATAATAAAAATTTTCCCGCCTAAATGCAAGGATGATGTCATTTTTTTTTTGTTTGGTTTTTTTTTTTTTTTTTTTGAGCTATCATATTTAATAATTTTGAAATTTAAATATTAGAAGTTTCTACATGACAACTACAACCTATCAATTTATCCTTAAAAAATAAAATAATTTTAATTAGCACACTAATAAATAGACTCCTACATTGAAATATGTATTAGGCGACATTGAACCGGTATTACATCATAATTTTAATGAAAATCTAAAATTTTAAATGTACAAATGTTTTTATATAAGGTGCATAATTCTTATTTATAATTTATCTATTTTTTAAAAAATGTACAAATTATAAAAATAGATTTTATATAAATCGTGCATTGTACAGGTTCTAACCTAGTTTGTATTATTTCAATTTTTTTTTTGGTGCGGAGAGAGCCAAAAGATATCAATGTTGATGTAATTGAATCATACAGTTTGTGTAGTTGGGTGCCAATACCAAAACATTGTCAACTATTCTAAACTTCTATCCATCCCGCCATTTTAGATTAGACGTCAATCACGCTATGCTTTGACTGGGCAATGGTTTGACATTATACGACGTATGTTATTGGGTGGTCTTTGACAGTGCTGGTTTTTTTAGTGTAAAATTTTTTTAAAATAAAAAAAAAAAAAAAAAAAAAAATAGAATTAGGTGAGAACTAATCATAAAAAAATTTCAAGGTTTCATGGCTTGTATAGAAGTGCTATGATAATTTGAGATGATTTCAGATGCAAGTAACTCAAGACAAAGGAAATACTACAAAATTACAGATCTCTTAACACTTTTCATTTTGACTCATTTTATAATCTTACATGCCACAATATACATCTTTTTACACTCTCTATTACTTGACACCTTATATGCTTTATGCATTGAGCTTGAGCATATAGTCAGGCTGGCCCATGGCACAACACGACATGACCAACACAAAAAATCCTTTGTATGAAGTATAAAAGAATAATAGAAAAACAAAACCACCCTAGATGAGCAACACCACAAAATCGAAGCTAATAACTAACCCCTCCGTCCCTTGACGATTGCCCCATTCCCCTTGAAAGGCAGCAGTCAATACTTCACTCATGTAGAGTCATCTGATCAAACACATACTAGTTATCAGCTACAGCCTTTTAGGGCAGGGAAGACCAATGATAAGATAAAATACTACTAGTATTAACATATCACTGTATGATAAGAGACAAATTTGCAAAGATTCACGCCCACCTGAGAAAAAATACAAATAAATGGGAGAAGAAAAAGAGTATCTTGCACCACAACTGCTTGTTTAAACATTTCTACAAACAGGAAAGCCCTCCACTAAAAACTATGAAGACAAACCAATACTAACAGCATCAAATACTGCATCTTATAAGACCATATATTCAGCATTCTTGGTGCTGATTACGCCTAATTTACTTCTGTCGCGCTTACCTCTCCCATATGTGGAGCATCCTGCATAATTCAAGGAAAATGTAAAGAGATCGAATTTGTAATTTTCTATGTACAGCAAGAGAATAAACAAAATGCTAGCTTTATGTGATGGGAAAAAGGTTTAGACAAAGTATTGATACCATGTTTTCTTTGTTTCCCTCTAGTGTTTCTTCCATGTCCAATGCGTTGGCTGTGACTGGAATGCAAACGAACCACAATATTAAGCTCTAAGTCCATTGGAATGCAGTTATATTGAGTATAACACAAGATTACACGTCGTATAGCATTTGCTAGAATGATGTAATGTACCTTCTTCAGAGACTGGTTTTTCATCCTGCTTCATGATTTTCTCTCCATTTAACTCTTGCTTGCCTGGCTTTTGGACTTTCTTCTTAATATTATTTCCCTCGCTTTCAGTGACTAATTTTGGCTTAGCAGGGTCACGGTTTGATGCTCGAGTCTTAATTACTGTAACAATGCTTGGAACATTTTCCTTTTTGGAAGAAGCTTTAGCTGAGGAAGCTTGAGTATCAGTGTTTAGAGATTTTGGTTTGAGCTTTTTGGTTGCCGCTGTTGAAGAGTTGCTCTGAGCATCCTCACCAGAGACAGTAGTTGCATCTTCTGGCACGTGAGAGCAGGTCACAGATTCTTGCAATTGTTCAAAGGTTTCTGCGATTTCATAGCCCTCAAATAAGCTTCTGATAGTCTCTCCAAGTTCGGCCAGGTTGTGCCTCTGCACATAAGATTTTAGCTCCTCACGCAGACGCTGCATAGGCTGAACAAGAACATATAAATCAGAAAAAGTAATCCAGTCACCAATCACAATATCAACTGCATCTGTAACTCATAAGATGTAATACCTCACATCCTGCCTCGAGGGCAAGCTTGAAGAAGGCGAGTGAAATCGAGTGTTTAGCAGCAGACTCTGAGAGCTTGATTTGTGACAGCCAATATGATGCAGATGACAGGATATTAAATTTCCTACGGGTTGATGATCTAGAAACATCAGACAGCGGCGTCACACATCTTTCTGGTCCATTACCAAATCTCTTGGACCTAGCTTCTGATATTGGAGTAATGTTGCTAGCAGCTTTTTGCCGAGGGCTCACAGATGACTTTGCAGGAATTGACAGCCTTCTCGGCGGCTTGGCAGCTTTCTCCGTGTTCTTGCCGGAAAGCTCAAGAACACTCACGCTTTTGCTCGTATTTGGATTCCTCCCTCTAAAGAAGACATCATACCAATCAGGAAAAATATATTAAAACACCCAAAGCATTTCTTTTTCTCAATTATGGCGAATTTTCAACAAAATTCATCAGCATTTTGACAACAAGTCCCATGATGTTATTTACTATACAGCATAGAATTTCAAAAGAGAATCATAGTACTGCTAGTATTTGGACTGACCCAAATTCCAAAATAATAACAAAACCTCTATTATGCACTCGGGTATACCTAAACAACACACTTTAAGGTAACCCTATTTCGAACAATCCTATTTAGGCCCAAATGACGCGGTCATTGTTACATTTAACGGAATTGTGTGATCAACAAAACACAACTAAGCAACCTATTTACACAAATCAAATGGCGACACGAAAATATTGTACATGAAACAATGAAACATGACATATTGACATGATAAAATGCATATGTATTATAATTAATTCTAAATTTGGCATGACAAATTCAGAAAGAACAGCTGTAAATGAAATAAATTCTGATACAATAAAATTACCAATTCATAGAAGATAATAGCCAGCAACTACACAACTAATCACACCGTAACAATCATTGACCAGTTCTTAGAAGATAATTCCTTATCAACAACACACATATATTCAAAAACCAAAATTTAATTTTATGTAAATGAGTGATTAAATCAAATTTGAACTTGAATTTCAATCAATTTTATGTAAAATTACCCAATTATATGAATTTTAAAGTGTAAAGATTACCTCTTGGAAGCAGCAGAGGAAGAATTATTAGCAATTTCAGGGGATTTGTTAGTTTGATCCTTCGATTTCGAAGCCGAACGAAGCGGATACCTAAGCTTCGATTTTGCTGCTTTCCCGAAATTCCATAAAATGAAACAAAACAAAATCAGATTTTATCTTTGGAAACAACGTTCCCCGACTTGTTTGGTAGACGGTAATAAATAGTGGTAACGAAAATGAATTTAAAACGCCGGATAAAAAAAAATAAAGAATTCTCGAAATCGAACTCGAAAAAATTGATAAAAACTTACCAGCAGAAGCAGAAGATTGTTGAATTTTGAGGGGTTCTTCCATAATTGCAGAGGATTTTTTTAGAGAGAGAAAGAAGAGGGAGAGATTTTAGAGAGAGAAGTTATAAGAGAGTGGGAGAGAAAGAGAAACTTCCTCAGTTTATTTATCTCACTTGAGCGGGAAAATTTCTCACTTTTTTTTAAAATTTTTAAATCTTAAACGTTATACAGTTTAATTAATAATTAATTAATGAAACGAAAATAAAAGGATTTCTGATGTTGTTGCTGACGTGTTATGTGATGATTGGATTGGAAGCTGAAAATTGAAGGAAGTTAATGATGCTAAACGGTTGGATTTTTGGCGGGACCCAATTTCTTTTCTAATTCTTTTTTGACGCTCCTCTTCTTCCTTTTTTTTTTTTGTTTGGATTTGAAATTCAAATTTAGAAAATCCTTAATTTATGGGGAAAGAGTGAACATGGTACTTGTTTCTGTAATCTGTTGTAATGTTGCTTGCCACAAAATACGAATGTATTTATGAATCGATTTGGATCAAATTATGTATCGTATCAAGGCTTCATTTAGTTAACATAGGAAATAAATTCCCATAGGAAATTCTAATATATGGGAAATTATTTCCCTTAACAAATTCTTAGGAATTAGAAATATATGTTTGGTTGTCATGTGGAAATTTGTAAACCATGGAAATTGTGAACGAAAAAGGGTAGAGTGGGTAAATAAATTCTCATGTTTTGTTGTGATTTCCTCTATTGTTATTGTATAATGTCAACTGAACAACATTACCAAATCAAAATTCGTGGAAAATTTGATTGCCTATGAAAATTAAATACAAGGGTTCAACCAGACAATACCCAAGTTTGTAGATTTTAAATGAGAGAATTTATTTATCAAAACTTATTTGACATCATCTTGTTATTTTTTGTCGTTTATCCTTTTAATATTTTCCCTAATAATCATCGACCACAACTATGATCAATTGATCATCACTAATAGCACACCTAAACTTTCTACATTCTTAAAAACATTTATAGATGGTATTATCCATGAATTTCATTATTGTCTAGGTGGCGATGGTTAGTGGTGGTTTAGAAAATTTAAACGTGACAATTTATATAAAAATACACCAAATTCCATGTGATTTTTAATAAATGAAATCCTTCCTATATACTTGCAATTTGCAAATAGGGGTAGATGTGCTTGGAATGGGATAGGTTTTTTTTTTGGGAATGGGGAAGTTGAGCAAAGAGTATGAATTGTGAGCACATGAAAAACAATTGTATTGAATTTGCCAACGCAAACGTGAATTATTTTTTTTTAAATTTTTTTTTTTTAACAATGAAAATAAATTTTACACCAAAAGAACGGGATGATAAATTGTTCCAAGAGATGTAAACCTGCTTACAGATTATTTGGACGTATAAAGTGATGATGAGGACACACAGTTTGCTGTTTCATGTAATGACCATACGTAGGCGAAAATGCAACTACAGCCTTTGCCGGCTTTTGGTTTCATACAACTCTAGATTTCATCTCAAGCACAATGAACCACAAACAATCAGAATGAACAAACTAGAAAAAAAGTATATGGAGCAAGAACGAACTCGATAGAGTATAGACTATACACAACCTTAATCCCGCATATTCCACAATGAGACAAGACAACATAGTTCATAAAGCTAAATTTACTTCGGCAGAATGAAAACAGTGAAGCCTGCAATTTACATTCACTCAAAAGGCACCCAACTTACACAAGAAAGCTGCTATGGTATCCACACCAAATATATTAGCAAGTCCAGTAAGTTCTTAACCTAAATAACAACATAACTAAGGGCCACATCACAAACTGCAAAGAAACTTTAACCTTGACCATGATTGAACCTGAGTCATGTCTGCAATGCCATCACCTTCGCCACTGTGCTTGGCCAGACTTCGCTGAAATACGGAACAAGTGGTAGTTACAAAACTGACACCAATGCACATGCTTTATGCTTCTAGGAATTTAAATGCAGATGGTTGAAAATTGGTAAATAACCAGCCAAACACGGATACTTTGACCTTGAGTCATGGCACCAAACAAAAACACACATACTTTGAATATCTAAAAGAGAATGGTGCAGAACGAAGAACTCTTAAAAACTTTACTCTAAAATTGTGGTACTGCCAGTGTACAAACTTTAATTTGCAAAAGGAAAGACACTAAAGCTTCACTACAGTGCCCTTGATTTAGCTTCCTAGGCCAAACAAGCCATTTAATATTTTAAAAATACCCCACAGACCAACCTGATATCATTTGAGTGTCTGGATTTTAGAGTGCTAAGGAACAATAACAGATAACCAGGCTCCCCAAGCAACTTAGAAATTGTTATCAGGAGAATCTCACTACATAGGAAAAACATAATCAAAGACCCCAACACAAAGAAAATTTGTAAAAGTTCAAAAGGCTTACCACTTCCATCTCTAGAAGATAACAAAGATTTCTCAGTTTTGTTTCCACTCTTTCCACCACTACCTTGAAGCGGTTTCTGTGTCCTTGGTGACACTGAGCTGACTTTTCCATTTGGTGCAGATGGGAGTGAATGACGCCGGGTCACATTGTTTTTCTCAGCTTCATCTTGTACAATTTTAGGGGATCCCTGTGCTCTTAACTTTGCCTTGGCAGATTGGGTTGCCTGCATATAGCTAGGAAGCTTCGGAGTATTCTGCAAGCCATCCTCCATATGCTCCTGTTTTGCTGGAAAAGAAGCCCTCCTACCGGATTTCTGGTTTTCGTTTGATGCAGAATCTTCCTTAGTTTTCAAGACACCATTTGGCACAGGAGTATTTTCATCCTTGTCATTCTCAAAAGACTCTGATTTGACCAGGGCTCCATCATCGTTTGAGAATTCAGCAGACTGACTTGTCTCTAAAGGCTCCTCAGTTGTCTCCTCTTCATCTGGCTTAGAATAAACAATAGGCTCTTCCTTAACAGTCATGTTGGTTTCTTCTTTGGTATTCTGAACAACAATGACCTCATTTGGAGCCGAAACCTCCTGTACAATGGATGCAGTTACTTTCCCTTGGCTTTGAACTGGCTTCTCAATTACCTCAGTCTGAGGCTGACCAGGGCTTTCAGACACAGGGTTGTGAACTTTTCTAAGGCTACGTTTAACCTTCTCAAGCTCATACTGCGGATTATCTTGTACAGACTCTGCTGGCTGGCTTACAACTTTCTTAAGATTTCGCCGTGGTTTCTCTACTTCAGAGGTGGGCTGCCCTGACACATTATCATAAAGGGAAGGAACCTTGCGAACACTGCGCTTAGGCCTACCTGTATCCCCATCAATGACCAGTGAGTTCCCTTGCTTTTTCTGGACCTTAGAGTTAGTGACTTTCTTAGGGGGAGAGACTGGTTTCCATGGGCAGGATATTGACCATCTTTCCAACCAATTCTGGACTGAATTTGAATCTGTCACATCATATTGGACTCGCAGAGGCATCACTGCAGGTGATGGAGCTAGAAGCTGTATGAACAACAGTAAAAATAAGAAAAAACAAAACCAATGATTTTGGTAGCAGTTAATCTAAAAAGACCTATTCCATGAATTTTTGTAGATTTCACCTTCAACAACGCTAACAATAGTATCTCAAATTTGTGATTTCCTCCAAAGTCCAAAAAAAAAAATAAAAAAAAAAAATAAAAAAAAAATCTCAATTTTGTGTAATTTCACAAATTTATCATCACAAGATAGAATTCATTATGCAGCATGTACTTAATACAATCATTTAATACATTTCTGTAAAAGCCACTTGGTCTATACACCAGGATTAAGAAATGTAGAGCATAAGTGGTCAGATGTGTACTCTTTAAGTTGAACCTAAAAATCACACAGAAACAGTTCAATCTATTCAAGGAAAGAAACTAGCAAACTTTTAGCCATTCAAGGTCAAATTTATATTACTAGTCGTCAACTAAGTGTTCAGGACAAGGACCCTCCCCCACCTCCACATTGTACCTTTCTTACATTGATACATGCATTTGACTGAGAAGAACTTTATGTGAGAATAAGGGTTGGACAAAAATTCCAGTTTTAGACAATGTGATTTGCCCATTTCTCGTTAGTTCATCCAATTAGAAGGTACTAATATATCTTTCTTATACAAAATTTCATGAGTATATATATTGGTACGTCATAACAGTAATACAATTAGAATATGGCCAAGCTTACTTTTTTTGTAAATGCATTCACTGACAAGCTTGTGGTGCAAGCAGACACGTCTCCATGAACACCAACTTTGCCATCCTGAAAATTAGCAGTATTAGTAGGAAAGTAGCAACAAAAGCCAGATTTTACTAGGCTGCCTATAGATCACACACCCATAAAATACTTGGCTCAAACTGTTTGTCTAAGTAGAAAGTTTACAATAACTAGAGGAGTAAAAGCAACCAATAGAACTTAGGACAAATTTCGAAGTCCTTTTTTACATTTTAAGCAGATCAAAATTAGAATGGGGCCAACACTTCAAGATGGTGGTACTAAGATGGTTCCAGATGCAAGTGCCCCTCTGAATGCAATCTTAAACTGAAATATTTGGTATCAGCTATCAAATGCTACTGGACTTGCCCCTGACGAATCTACTACAACAATACATGACTAGAAAATAAATCACAACCAAATGATAATTAAAAATTAGTGCCAGTGCCCTGAAGGATGCAACAAACTCACTCCGCATATAAAAAATATTCACAAGAGGTGTGAATCAGTAGAGAACAATGAGAAGGCAAGATTAGCAGCGAAAGCATGCTAAATTTTTTAAACCAATCATTAATTACCAACATAGTCCAAAAACCTTGCCCCTACCCATTTTTAGTACTATTGGTGATCCCCATATATTTATATATTTGAAATTTCACAAGACTTTGACCTCAAAAAAGCATGCAAAATCAAGCAATTTCCACAGGTGAATTCATACAAAGATTCCCTCTTTAACAGCTTCAGATAAAGTATCCAGAAAAAGAAACTCCTTATATAACCATTTAGGGAATTACCAGAGGCTTCACTATACAGACTTTCTGGACTTCAAGGCCAGCATCAGAACACCTAATTTTTGACCCACGAACAAGCGCTTGCAGCTTGACAACGCCTATAATGCAATACAAGGTTGAAACAGCTTGTCTCCTCACCAAATGTCCACGAATAAGAGCCTGAAGCCTTATAATGCCTTTCAGGGCCTTGAATGCACGTCGAGCCTTCACAAATATGCTCAAATTAGAAAAAATTATCAAGTACCAGTAAATTAAGCACAGTTGATATGCCATGGAAATAGACCGAGACATATGCACACACACAAACACATGCCAACAGAAAACTTAATCAATCAGCCAGAACATCTAGCAATTAGCCTGTTACCCAGACCAAATACCGAACCATATAGCCCTTAATAACTATAAAGTTATTATTACAGTATTATTTTCTATATCATTATCTAATAGCTGATAGTATGAATACATAGAAAAAAGTTTGTATAAGTATGAACATAATATTCTTATATATCATGTCACTACAGATGCAGAACTTACCAGATAACCCCTAAAAGCAGCCTGCGTCTTAGTTGCAGCCATTTCTAACTCTATTCTCTCATCGTCAGTTAACATATCTGTTTCCTCTGTTTGTTTTGGATCAGTGCATTGATCTCCAGATACTGGCATATCCCCATCTGGCTGGACAAGAGAAGACTCCTTGTACTCTGACCTAAAAGTTTGGTCATCCACATGAACTGCATCTATAGCAGCACTTGATACCTCTGGAGGATTAACATCGTTATCAGTTGATTCAGTTTCAGGAGCCCTAACACGAACATGCACCTCTTTCTCGTTGGTGGATTTCTTAGCACAATTAAAAAAAAATATTAATTACAATGTGAAAAAACAAATAAATAAAAAAAGTAAGAATAGGCTTATCCTAAACTACGTTTGACAATCACTAGTGTGCTTCAGTGCTTCATTGATGCAATCCGCAAAAATTAATTATAAAACTATATATATAACATTAATGTAGGACAAACCATACAAGATTCTGAAACTCTATATTGTGTTAAAGTTATGCGTCCTCTGTTCTTTTTTAATTGCAACATTTGAGAATTGAGATTTGCACTATTCACATGCACCATCTTTTGTGATTTATATGTTAGGGAATAAAAGTCATATGGGGTCTTGTTAGATTCATCTCGATTTATACTTTCAAATATATCAACTCTTTATAATTTTTACTAAAGTATAATGAAAGATACTAATTTTATGTAATTTACATTGGCAAGCGTGAAAACCCCAACAGTGCAATTAAAAAAAGAACGGATGAATTATATGTGATGGTGTGTTTTATCACCAAGGACTTTATAAGAAAAATCATTTGACTTCTTCCCACCTAAATTTCAAAAAAAAAAGAACCTGAGGTCTAAACAATAAACAAGGTTCCAAGTACATGCAGCCCAAGCCAAAGTAATTATCCAATGAATCTATGACATAAGTTATTATTTTTTGTGTAGAATATTGAGGTGGAAAATTTTTACAGCGTCAATGAGCAGAATACATGAAGACTATCAGATTGAAAGAAAATAATCTGCGGAGAAGAGACAGCGATCTCCACCTACACACAATAACACACTATATACTCTATTCCATTAGTCAGAAACACAAATGTGACAAATCCCACTTAATTCTATTTATATATTAAGAGACCAGAGTATCAGATCTGAACATCCTATTCTAATATTCTGTTTACAATATCCAAAAAAAGGAAGAAAAAAAAATATGATACAAAACTTCATGCAAGCATATTAGAGCACATTGGAGCATTGAATTAAGTGTTATAGAGGAAAAAGAAAAGCTTCTACTCAGAGTTAAGATGTATTAGGATACAAAAGGAATGGAAATACTTTTTAGAAACAAGCATAATATCTCCTAGACAAGAAAAGGAACATATTTAACTAGACAATCACCTAGATCTCGAAAAGTTCTAATAGGTTTATAGATCCTAAAACACCAATAAAGATGAAGGGTGCATCTTGATGATGTAGGCACTACTTTTAGCTTCTCTAGTTTCCACGCACATGGTACCAGAGAGCCAAAAGAACAAATATCTAAGTTAATCACACAGTAAGACAGAAAAGTATGAAAACATAGGTGAAAAACATGCAATGTACCTAGCTTTAGCATACCAGACAGATTTGCAGAAGTTACATTGAAGCACTAATAGTACGTAATAGTAGTTATATAGAAAAAGTTTAACATCTAAGGGAGCAGAGTAATAACCAAGTAAGTCTTCAGCATGTACCTCTTTACCCTTGGCAAAATTGGATTTGGATGGTTTCTTCCCAAAAATTACAGTCTTTATCCACTTTCCAGGTGACTTCCCCATTGTTGAGAGGCCAAATTTGACTTAACAAAACCTTCAGCACAAGATATCACTTCAGCGCATAATAACTAGAGGCAACGAGCAAATAGAGCTAAGCAAATGCAAAAAAAAAAAAAGAATGATATATGGCAGTTAACAAAACCTTCAGCACAAGATATCACTTCAGAGCATAATAACAAGAGGCAAAGAGCAAATAGAGCCAACTAAATGAAAAAAGAATGATATATGGCAGTTAATTGTGAAAGTTTGATGAACACCCACAGGGGATAATAGAAGCAGCGTGATTAAATTGAATATAAAATCCTACACGAACAGCTGTATGTCCATTGATGTCAGCATGTCACGTAGTTTCATAGAAAAAGACCTTAACTGAATATACCTCTCATTGGACAAACCACTATGATCATTTCACTTTCACAACATAAGCCAAGCATTGAACTGATTGAAGCTCAGAATCAGTAGACAAAATAGTTAAAGTAATTTTCTAGAAAGAGGTGAAAGGGCTCTACATTTATCCATTGATGTCAGCATGTCCATAGTTTCATAGAAAAAGACCTTAACTGAATATACCTCTCATTGGACAAACCACTATGATCATTTCACTTTCACTACATAAGCCAAGCATTGAACTGATTGAAGCTCAGAATCAGTAGACAAAATAGTTAAAGTAATTTTCTAGAAAGAGGTGAAAGGGCTCTACATTTATCCCTTTTCGACTTTAATGTTCATGATCAAAGGCACTGATACCATAAGTCCCTAATTGCACAACAAGTAACAAATGCTTGCATATGCTAAGGGTCACAAACCCAGTTCTGCATATCCTAAGAGATGGTAAAGTAATATTTGTAGGTATGACCTGTCATTTGAACATGATAGAAAATCAGCGCTACTAAAGCTTACTGAAAGGTAGCTCTACGCACAAAATGGATTATCCAACAAGAGAGAGCTACCTGAAAGAGCATAACAACCAACTATACAAACACAATAAAAACAGCGAAAAGTTATGCGTGCTTCTAACCAAGGGAAAAAAAACAACCTTAAGGTTCGAAGTTAACTATTTGAGCAAAAGTCCTTATCTTTCAACTTAGTTCTCCAAGTAGAAAACTCAACAATATGGCATCTTAAAATAATGCAATTACCTATCCTAACCAAAAGTCCTTGTCTTTCAACTTAACTTTCATTTATCATCGAAGTTAACTATTTAAGCAAAATGAATAAGTATCCAAGTACCTATATTGTAGGCTTCTCAAAATATAACTACTCTCAGACACAAATCTTCAATGCAATAAACATGATCTTTATAGGACCAACTACAAGAGTATCTCAACCATCAAATTCTTCAATACTCCACCATCAATTTTCTTCAATAACTCCGTAAGGTTTTAACCAGTTAACCATCAGAGAAAATTTGGAAGTACGAAAGTCAACACTAACAACGAGAAAAAGGACAAATTGTGAACCCAATGTTGCTCATGCACACATAGCAACTTGCTTCTAAAGGGGTCTCCATGTATTATATGGCAAAGAAAATCAATCATACCAAAGCATCTAAAGTTAGCTCCAACCAGAAAACTCAACATTATGGCATCACCCATCCCCTGAAGATAAGCCCTTATTGAATCAGGTTTCTGTAAAGATCCTTATTCACTAGTCATCTTCCTTAAGTTTGAACTTCCCTCCTCATAATTATGCGCCGTCATACTAAGCACAGTGTCTATATGTACGAAAAATAAATAAAATAAAATAACCATAACATCCTCTGGAACAGCCCTTTAGTAGTCTCTCTAATTGCCCTTTACTGGTTAGAAGTAAGGTTGTGTATATCTGACCTGTCAGCGAGATATATATTGGGTTGTTCTTGTCATACAAAAGAACCATTAGAGTGCCATTATATACTGTGTAATAGACGTACATTCTTGCCTCTCTATGCATTTAGCAACTATATGCTCCTTTGATTTTCCTAGATGATCTTTTTCAATGAAATGAATATTAACATTTGCCTCTCTTTCCTATTCAACCTCCTTTCTCTACCAAGGAAGAAAGGCTTGGAATTAACAAACTGGAAATCCTTTTAAGCTTGGGATGACATGAGTTGTCTTCACCAAAATCACTCGATACACAACTATATGTCTCTCGCAAATCAAGTTCAATATCTACATTACCGTAAAGCAAATAACAAAAAGGATTATATCCCTAGTCGAAAAAGAAAATCTAGAAACCCTTGGCTGTGCATACAAGTCTAGCAAATTACTCAACCAGCCACTATATGGTGTACTCATCCTATGTTGATCTAGCCCTCAAGCACCCCAAACATAATGTGGAGACATTCAAAACCCAATAAAATTGGTAGTAATCATAATGCTTCTTCAGCCATAGCCAATCAATATCCATAATGGAAGGTCACCAAGACTTGTACATACCCAATCCATCCGAAACCTCTTATACAGAATCCAAAAATAACATACTCCATAATCCATAATGCGTAAAAACTTCATATCCCAATCAAGTACAATTAAACAACGTTACGCTTCACCAATGCTAAATTAAACTAGTTGTATGCCCACGGAATATCAGATCACTAATTCACTATCAAGCATAGAGCCATTGGCTTTATAACAACTAGGTTAAACATAATCTCCCTGAAATGCAGCAACATCCTTCAAAAAAAAATACAATGGTGACCTATTCAACTATTATGCACAATATAATTACCTCAAACAAACAAAACTCTCTATTTCCCAATTTCCCAAAATAAAATTTTCAAAAAATTTCCATTTTTTCAAACCCTTTTCTAACTTCCCCCCAATATTCCCTAACAACCAACAAAACCTAAAACCATCAAAAAAATAAAATACAAACATTACCAACCAAAAACAATAACCCAGTAACAAAACCAAAGTAAAGATCTACTTACGAGTAAGCACCGACATTCAACAAATTACCTTAAAGCAAGCAAATAAATGTAAATATGAACAAAACCTACAGTTTCCATAATTTAAAACACTTAATTAACTTTACTTAGCAATTACTCACATTCAGATCTATAACTTACCAAACAAATGCAGATACCAAAACCCACAAAATCTAGCAAAACACCCACAATAAACTAAACTGAAAAACAAAAAAAAATCCAATCTTTTCAAAAAATTTACATGCTTTAGCAAAAAATAAAAAGAATTAAAAATAGAGGAGAGAGAAAATAAACCATGAAAACAGACCTTGGGAGTTTAAGCGAAGGTGATGTAGCAGATCATTACTACTGCTACTCTGTACTGAAACACTGAAATATACCCTCCAAAATTTTTAATTTTTTAATTTTTTTTTTTTTTTGTCTTGCAGACAAAATAAATAAATATTAATGGCAATGAAAGAGGGTCTAATATGGTATGGGCGGGTTCATGGTAATATGACGTAAGCTCGTTGGATTCAGCCGTTCCATGGAGGTCATTTGATACTGTGATGAAAATTAACGGCTGTGATTTGGAGTTGGAGAAGTTTATTTATTGGAACTGACAATTATGAAGTTTGCTTCAGATATAAGGGAGTGTGGGGATTCTTTGGCTTTAAAACAAAATTGACAATTTTGCCCTCCAGGTTTTATTACTCCATATTTACTTCCTCTATTTTAATACGAGTACTCCGTATAAAACATAGGAGTATTTTTTTTCAATTATCAATTGTATACCTTCAACTATTAATACCTTGTTAATATGTAAAAAAAAATTATAAAGTAAAATACTCCATATAAATTTAAGCGAGTCTAATAGGAGTTAATAAGTTCATATACATCGTGTCAAAAAAAATAAGTTCATATATAATTAAATTATATAATTAATAACGGTTATTAAAATTCAATTTTTGTAACTATATCAAGTTTAATTAAAATCTAATAAGGGTCTATTTTATTCACCTTATTTTCACTAAAATAAGATAAACTCTAATTATGTTAGCACAAATTCAAAAATATAGGTTTTAATAAATTCTAACAAATTAAGATAAGATAAGTTTAGATTAGTGAAAATTAGGTAAATACATAAAATCCACTAAGAATTTAAATTAGGGGAAATCAAATGCACACATTCTAAATAATGTACTCAAATTTTAAAATGTTTTATCCTTTATTTTTTTTAACAGTTTATTTTTTAGAAATTTTTAATTAAATTTACCCTCCCTTAAAAAGGAAAAATTGAGTGTAAATGAAGAGCCAGGCTGGAAAAGGAGGCATAAGTGCTAAAGAAAGGGGGAAAAGTGGGAAACGTAGCAATGTGGAAGTTGGTTGAACAACCTTTTGGCCCTTGCTATATGGGGAATTAATTAGTATAAGAAGGCGATAAATACAAGTTTTAATATCCTTTTTCTTAACACATACTTGTGCTTAGAAAGAGACAAATGACAATGAAGGAATCTTAATTTTCTTTCTTCTTCTTGCTAATTATTATTTCCTGTAATTATTCATGCTTTAGCTTATTTAATTGCAATATAATGCATACATTATATGGTTATTATGTTATTCAAATGTATAGTTGTGATGATGTCGGTGTTCAAGTGTGAAGTGTCACTTGCGAGCAACATATATATACAATGGATAATTGGATATGATGTTTTTTTTTTCCAATTTAAAATAGCAATTTCTTGTAAAAATTGGTCTAATACAAGGCGGATCCTACAATGAAGCCATTTTATATGTCCAAAATCAATAAAGTTCTGTTCTCTTTGCCTAATTTCACTTATTTCAAAGTTTGCTAAGTGTGTACATATATATATAAAAGTTCGGCTCTATTTTTTAGGGCCGAGTAAAACTATCTGAAATATCGAAAATCCAAAAATCCGATCCGTAATCGATCCGGAAATTAGGGTATCCGATTCGATAATCATAACGGTTCGGGTATTCGATCCGATAATTTGCTATCGGGTATGGTTATTGGGTATCACTTTAAAATTAACGGTTACCCGATCCGATCCGATAAGCAATTTATTCTTTTGTTCCTACTTAAATCTATTTATCCAAAATTTTAACTCTTATTTTACTTCATATTCACTTTATAATATGAATAATTGGTAATATTATTAATAATTTGGTCAAGCTCATGCGGTATTGTTGTAAATCAGTGTTGCATGATATCATAATAACTATATTATTAAGTTTAATTATCATCATTGGATATCATATTGGGTACCCGATAACCGATCCGAACATACGGACACCCGAAGTTCAAGTACCTGAACTTATCGTTTATGGATATCATTTTTAGTGATATTGGTTTTTGGTTTCCCGAACCGTAAGGCCTTATTTAGTTCACCTTATTTTTACTTATTTTAGAAAAAATAAGTTCAGATCAGAAAAAATATGTTCAGATCAGATCAGAAAAGTTCAGATCAAATACAAATTATTATTATTATTATTATTATTATTATTATTATTATTATTATTACTATTATTATTATTATTATTACTACAATTATTATTATTATTATAAAAATTATTATTATTATTATTATTACAAAAATTATTATTATTATTATTATTATTACTACTACTATTATTATTATTATTATTATTATAAAAATTATTATTATTATTATTATTATTATTATTATTATTATTATTATTACTACTACTATTATTATTATTATTATTATTATAAAAATTATTATTATTATTATTATTATTAATAAATAGCACAAACGATAAACGATAATAATTAAAATTTCATTATAAGCTCCAAATCATAAACGTTTACAAATATAATTTTCATTACAAGAAGTTCCAAATTTCCTTCGCTATATTAAGTTGTACTTCGTTCATTGCAGCTTTACGATTCTCGTTAAACAAATCATAATCTGCTCTTGGTTCGATTTCTATACCACTACCAATGGGTATATCCAACTCATGTAATCGAATAAAATTGTGAAGTGTGAATGTAGCAACCATAATTGCCAATTGATGTTTAGTGTCCATGTTTGGCATCATTGTCAATATTTTCCATCGAGATTTTAATTGTCCAAAACATCTCTCGATCATTGTTCGAAGTGAAGAGTGAAGATAATTAAAAAGTTCAAGTATGCCTTGAGGTGGTGGACCATTTCGAAATTCGGGCATATGGGTTCTAATATCTTTATCTTTTATTGGACTCAAATATCCAACGGTATTCGGATATCCAAAATCTACTAGATAATATTTTCCTGTTACAAAATAAAGTTATATGGCATATTAGTATTAGTGTCATGTATGGAGTAAAAACATACACTATTCTAAATTATACCTGAAGGTGGATGGGGAAATCGAAATTCTGGTACGGTTAAGCAATGGTTCCATACGGTAATATCATGAGCACTACCTTCAAATCCAACGTTGATAAACATGAAAAGTCTATCAAATTAACAAGCAGCCAAAACATTCCATGTTTTTTTTTCCAGAACGCCCTCGATATGCCACACCTTCATCATCGCTTACAACTGCATTTATATGAGTAACATTAGATATGAAAAAAAGTAGACGGAGGGAAATAACAAATGGGATGAACATTTTGGGACTAAAATTTAGCCAAAAAGGACTATCAATAAGGGACGGAGGGAAAACATAATACTTTGCTTTTTCCTAGAAACACCCTCTTCAGATCAAAACAATAATACTTGATCAAGTGTTTTAACAAAAATGTTTGAATATCTTCTTACAAAATATTACTTTTTTTCCTACAAAAAAAAAAGAAAAAAGCAATAATAAACGAGCCTAACGTTTCCTATACAAAAAAATGAATATCTTCAGACAACATATTATGTATATTTTCATTTTTTTTTTTAATTTCATATTTTTAATAACAAGCCTAACGTTTCCCATAAATAAAAAAATTTTAAATTTCATGTTTTCTTTCCTCCTATTCTGTCAAATACTTTTGCTTTATACAATTTTTTATTCTTCCACTTACCCCATCCATATATTATTACGTTTACCAATTTCTCCTAAAACTCCCCACATGTAAAAATTGGAGAAGGTATTTAAAATCGAAGGGAGTATACGTACAAGATTTTCAATAATAATAGCTACGCATTACTACAATTAAAATTAGTACAAAGTAACATAGAAAATGTTGCTAGTTCAAACAAACGATAAAATCAAATCCGATACATCATAAATCCCTATTATTATTTACGAATTAAGGTATTAAAAAACAAGTCAAATCTTTTTTTTTATGTAGAAAAAAGCTATGATAAATTTAATCTGTAATTTAGTTTTTTTAGGATCCCCATTTTAATACTTTCTTATAAAAAAAAATTGATTTATGAAGTGGGATACTGTAAGTAATAAAATTATCAAATATTCCAATTCTATTACCTTATACTATCTAGTAAATTTAATACTTATAGGTTTTTTTAAAATATTTGTAATAATAATAATAATAATAATAATAATAATAGTAATAATAATCATAACAATAATAATTAAACATTAATATTGATTAACATTAAAAGTAGAATATTGAAATAATTAAAATAAGTTCAAATCAGAAAAAATAAGTTCAGATTAGATCAGATCAGAAAAAATAAGTTCAGATTAGATCAAATCAGAAAAAATAAGTTCAGATCAGAAAATATCAGTTCAGATCAGATCAGATCAGATCAGCTTAAATTAGGTGAACTAAACAAGGCCTAAGTGTTAATGATTCGGGTACCCGACCCATACTCACCCCTACTAGTATTTTATTCCCCTTAATCTTACTTTTTTTTTTAGATATACAAGTTCATATAAGATAAATTCAAGTAATAGGACAATCTAGTCCTTATTTGTAAGACATAAACATATTATTTTGGGCTTAAAATTAGGCTTCGTTCACTTCACCTTATTTTTGCGGAACTGGAATTATTTTTACTGAACTGAAAGTATTTTTACTGAAATTATTTTTGCTGAACTAAAATTAATTTTACGGAACTGAAATTATTTTTGCTGAAATGAAATTATATTTACTGATTTTCTATTATATTTTTTCTTTAAACTTACTGAATTTTACTGAACTGAAATTATTTTTACTTAACATTATTTTATTAAGTTAAAGTGAACAGGGCCTTACACTTAAATATTATTTTTACCACGACTATATAGCTAGTTATCAAATGGACTTGTACTACATTTTGCATAACTTAATGTAGATATAATTAAAAGTTACGTTTTTTTTTTTTTTTTGGTGTTTAGAGAGCTACAGGGACGGATGATGAGAACCGATCTCATGATCTCCTAAAATCGGGAGGAAAGATCTAACCACTTGAGCTATCCCTCACTCTCAAAAGTATTGTTATTGTAGTGTTTGTATTTCTCAGCCTCTTTTTTATTTAAATTTTATTAAAATACAAAAAAATACATCTAGTTTTTTTTTTTTTACAAGAAAAATACAATAAGGCCTTGTTTAGTTCACCTTATTTTTACTTATTTCAGAAAAAATAAGTTCAAATCAGATCA